GTCAAGATCTTTGCTGCTGCTTGTCTGCAATCAAAGGCTTCCTGTCACTACTTGCTTTCAGACTGAGGGCAAACATGTCAGCTAGGCCTTGTGTTAGCCACCAGCTACCCTTTTCATAATTCAGCCTTGAACTGCCCTTTGCCTCCTGACATGCTGCAGCAGCATGTATACAGCCAACTAAATTTCACTGTTACTGAAAATACCACTCCACTATCCACACCAAAGCAATACAAACATGTAAATATATACACAAATGCAAGCATTTGTAATTGTGTAAATTTTCAGTAGAGTTGATATAATGACCATACACAAGCACATCAGTAAGCAAAACGATGTTAAGGTGGGGGGTGGAAGGAAGGGAAATGGTCTGAACAAAAAAAGAATCTGCCAACCTCAGCAGAACCTGACATCAGCTCTACTTGAGAATAGAAAAGTTCCTCCTTTTACATGTAATGGGCTAGGGACATCTCCTACTAGGAATTGTAGTCCTCTTCCCCCTGAACTTCTGTTTCCATACAGACAAAGGGGATCTAAGGCTTGACTTCCCAATCATTGATCTTAAGAAGGTTAAGCTTGTGTGAATCAAATTTCGGGGAAAACAAAAAATTCTAATGTTTCTTCATGGGAAACAGCTGTATAAAGGGAGAGATGCAACTGAACATCTGTTACAGGTTCTTTGAACAGGAACACAGGAATGATAGGTAGATCTAGCATAATGGCAGCCTTATGATTTGCACTTACAGTGAATGCGTACCAGACTAAGGATGGTCGAAAAAGAAAGAATTTTCAGTAAATAGGACTTTGAAGATTCCTGATGCTGTTGTAGCGCTCCCTCTGACCTTTAGCAAGTCACTTAGCCCCAGTCTTTCAGTATTGAATCTTCCTTCTTGTGGGGCATGGGGAAGAACTGAAAGGAGGACTGTTATTGAGGATTAGGAGGTGACACGCTTCTCTGAGGTGAATGCTATACAGCTGACGACAGCAGCAGATGGCTCCGATACCACATTGAAATGTAGTTGCACAAACCCCCTGAGCAGATGGCATATGAGAGAAATCCTACCAGCTTTAACTAGTCTGGGCCTGGAAGAGAGAGCATTCATGCAGTGCAGTTAGGGGCCTCGAGCTGTGCTGTTCCCTCCATGTGAAGATACCTACCAATGTGTGTAAAGCAACTTGACAAAGGTACCTTGAGACAGGGGTGGCAAAGCATTTGAAGTCAGCTGGGATCTGCAGTCCTTTTTCAGTAAGAAAACAAGTGCCTTAATCTCTAGGCTATTACATTTACTGTATGTACTTGTATGGTGGTCATAAGTTTTCCTAATCTTGAAGTTGTTCAGTTTCTGTACACTTGGGAGGGAGACAAGTAGCACTGACAGCTTGTTTTATGGATAGGAATGGAATTCAGTGTATCTTATCCAACATGCACTGGAAATCTGCAGCAGAGCAGACAGTTGAATGCAGGATCCTCTGTTCCTAAGTTGATGCTGCAGCAGATGGACTATTAATCCACAAAGTTGAGGCCCTTGCTTCTGCCACATCTATTGAGGTGTTGCACTCTGTGTTTGCAGACAGTTTTATCTTCCTCTGGTCTGGAGATGAAAGTAGCTTTGAGCAGAAAGACTGCAATGTTTGCTTGTGGCAGTCCTGAGCTACGCAGTCTGTCTCTTGAGGGCCAGTCTTATTTGTATGGGAGCTTGATTAAAGTTGAATGAGAAGTTCTGTTCAAGGGAATGGAAAGCCTATGTCTGTGTTAAAAATTGTTAGCAGAATGTTTCTTCCTATCATGGTGCTGAGTAGCCAGAGCCCTGTTTGATTCACACACTAAAAGTAGCTTTTGTGTACTTCAGGGTTAGAGTAACAGCAACTGTAGTAAGGGCTGGAGCTCCATTAGTGGCAGAGAAGAGGTTTGAATGCAGTATCTCAATGCAAACTTCATGTTGCTCTGAGAGACAAAACTAAAATTCCATATCCATGTTTCTAGGCAGGAAGGTTTAAAATTATTTTCTTAAAACAATACCTAAAGACTAGGGTGTTTGAGTTGATACTGTGTTTGTGTTGCCAACTCATATCTGAAACTCATCACAACATCCTGTTTTGGGTCTGAGCCCAGAAAAGAAAGCATCTGTGAATTCTGGGTAAAATTCTGAAGAAGGTACATGTGCCACTGTTTCCTTGGGTTGTTTTAAGAAGGTCTAAGTGTTTTGAATTTAGCTGTTTCTCATTTTTGTGACTACTGAGACTCAAAACCTGTTGAATGTTACAACATACAGAGACATGTCTGAACTCTGCCCTTTAGGGAACTCTAGTTCTGCTTGTTGCCTCAAGGATGTAGTGAAAGGAGGCAGCCGTGTGTGGAATGAAACGATTAAAATTTTATTTAAAAAACCCAGTAGTTTGTAGGTGGGTCTGCATGGTCTGCCACTGCATATTCATGTCATGTGAACATATGAGGCTTTCTCTAAGAAGGAATTCTTAAGTGTGTTCTTGCTTCTAAGCTACCCTCTATGCATGGAGTTGTCTTCATTTGCTTGTACTTACATGACTAGTCACTGACTCTCCCACAGGCAGCTTGTAGGTTTGTGACCTTGCTCCTATTTATAGTTTCATTGGGAAAGCCAACCATGAGGAACTGTACCTAGTTTTTGGCAGAGTCCCAGCTCTAGCATATACAGGAATCTTTTTTTCCCCATCCTGTTTTTACTTTTTATAGGCTCAAATAGAAGTACAAACGTTTTTTCTCTAAATGCTTGCATGAAAAAGACTTGCAGAGGTTTAGAAGGCAGCTGGCTGGTCCAGAATAACATCTTAGGGGAAGAGGAGTTGTAGTCAGGTCCCTGTGGTACAGTGATTCAGTGGGAAGATGCTGAGACACCACTTCTGCAGAAGTCCGTAAGAAGTCATCTTCATCCTTCTTTGCTTATTCTGCTTCATATGTCCATCTTTGTATGGGTTACTTCAGCTGTTCTGACTAAATTTTCAGTCTGTAATTAATTCTAAGCTAAGATTCTGGTTTCTTCTTGTCCTTAGTGCCTTGGGCAGGCAAGATCTCAGCTCTCTTTAAAGAACAGGATCTGGTTTTTTACCTTGACTAATCTCAGTTGTTTGCTGGTAGTGTGACCCATACATCGCATGGATTTCTGAGACTGTTTCATTCCTTTGAAGAGCTAGCTTGAGCTCAGGCCATCTATCTGTCAGATCCCGAACCCTTGTTTCTGATGTGTTCTGAGGGCTGTGAAAAGCCTCCTTCTTGCTATCATATCTTCTGTTAAGATATTTGGTTGTGAAAGGGCATTATGATAGGTCTGCCAGGTAAGGTACAGGAGTTAGGCCTCTGCTTCGCCCATGAGGCTGAGTATGTTAATAAAAGAATTAGGTTGTGACAGGAGTTTCACAGACTAATTTCCTGCATGCAAAAGTTGAATTATCTCCTCCTTGCTGTGGAGTATGATGAAGCATCGATCTGTTTAGATGTCTGTATCTTAAAATTGAGCTAGAGAGCTGTTCTGCTTCCTATGTCTTAAGGAATATGAATCATTCAGTAAATTCAAAATGGGAGACTGTCTGAGAGGATGCTATGAGGAAAGAAGCAGAATTTGGATACATCATGACTTCTGTTTCTTAAGCTGTGTGCCTAGTCCCAGGTGACTGTTGTCTCTCTACTGAAAGACTGCCTCAGTTTCCCAGTTCAGTGAATTTCTTCTCAGACAGCCACAAAATCCTTCCCAACATAGCTCATTTTACCCCTTCTGCTTTGCAAATCATCATATGATCCATGAGTATGTCTAGGCTAGGAGACAGTAGCAAGAAAAAGTACTTCCTTGGCTTGCAGGCAGCTCCCAGATTGCTCCTTTCTCCAGATTAGCAAGGATTTAGGAGGTGCATGCTCTGTGTACGCTAAATCAGTTCTGCAGAAACTACTGCATACCACCATTATCCTGCTCTTATCTCTGAATTTCATGGAAAGGCAATCTCAGCTGCTCAGTGCAGGCTGGCAGTTTTATCTTGTCAGTAGGTACTGAAAGCCATGTAAGTGTGGAAATGACAGTGACACAACGGCTAAGATGTTATCTCCACAGCAAAGCCAAAGGCAGTTTCCATGGTGATGGAGAAGCTCCAGGCTGCTGGTGATGCAGCTGCTGTGCTGGACACAATCAGTAGCCTTTTTATACAGAGGCTGCTCCAATAAAGCTTTTATGTGTTTATGTAGCCCTCATTATGTTGTATCCAGCTCTGGAACATAAAACAAGGGGTGAGGGGAAGATTTATACTGGCTGAAGTGGATGCTGACCTAAAAAGAAAACAGGAAAAGAAGGGTGAAAATGTTGCAAATCTCGGATTATCCACAAGTGACAGATGTATATGACAACTTGAGTGCGTTTGATATTCTATGCATTTGATATTCTGGTCAGTACTTTCCTGAGATATTGTGTGCCAATGTTAATACCTCCTCAAGTTCCTATTTCAAGTGAGAGAGACAGATGCATATCTCCAGGTCATAGCTCCTCTTCAAAATGTTTCTTCTGAATTGGATCCAAAATCAGAATGGGTCTCCTTTTCTCTATTGAGACTAGAAGTTCCCAGGGATCTGGAGAAAGTGGATCATCTTACGATTTCTGTATCTCAAGCGTTAAAATGTCTTACAATTCACTTGGTCCCGCTTTGGGTAATAATCTTTCAATACCTCAGCACATATATGTGGAATTAATTTTGTACTCTTCCTGTGGGGTCTTACAGCCTGTGCTTGCACTTTGTTTTTTGATGGGACAGCAAGTGCAACACCTTCAGCTTCCCACACTGGAAATGAACATATTGCACTTCTGCTTTGATCTTCTACCGACCTGTGCTTTGCGGGTGCTGCAGCACATGAGTAGGAATTGTGTGTAAAACTGCTCAATTAAAATAATCATTTATCATTTTGACCCAGACTTTTGGTGGTTTTAAATATTGGTTGCTCTCTTCTGAACTAGATGCTAAAAGAGATTTGTATTCTGTCTTTTCAGGTGGTGCGGGGGACCGGGAAAAGATGCCTGTCAATCATGAGGCTTTCCTGCTCATGGCTAATTCCCAGAATGAAATGGAAGATTGGGTGAAAGCCATCCGACGGGTTATATGGGCTCCATTTGGTGGAGGTATTGCAAATAGCTCACATGCACATAAATTAAAACATTTGCCTCAAGGTAAAACATATTCTTGTGATACTAGGATATGTGTAACACTGTAAAATCACTGAGATGCCTAGATAAGCCCTTGATTGTCTGAAGTGTTTTGCAGCAAGGGGGTTGGGTTGATTTTTTTTTTTTTTTTTTTTTTTTTTTTTTTTTTTGCCAGGGGATGAGAGGGCACATCCAGACTGTATGACTGACTCAGAAACGTGTGCTGATAATAAACATATCACTATTGTCAGTACTCAGTTTTTTACAGCTAATTATGAACTATTCTCTGGACCTTTTTTATCCTTATGGACATAAAGGAGTGTGTCCAGTTATCTCAATTTTCAACCCAAGGGAAGATGCCTGTCTTTAACCTCCCTACAGCCAAAGACAACAAAACTTTTCATCTAGCTAATGTAGGGCCCAGTTGAGAAAACAAAGCTTCCACTGCCTTCAACGGGGGTGTAGACTGAGGAAGAACAACAGGGTCAGGTTGAGTGAACACCTGTAAGATAATATAGCTGTTGACAATATCTGTAGTTAAAATGAACAAAAAAATCCAGACTCTTGGTGTTGATATTATACCACAGTCTTCAAATTCTCGTCAATAGATTAGATAGAAAATGTTTTTGAGGTTTAGTATAGAACAAGGGTTCACGGATGTTTTCTTCTGGGTTAATTGTTGGTGACAGCTGCTACTGGCTTGGTACTTGGACGCTCTGTGCTTTGAAGTGACTTGTGTGCTACCAGTGGAGTTCATGCAAATAGTGGTATCATATGTAGATTGTGATACTGACCTTTTTTTTGAGAGGTATAGATAAAGTGCCCGATAAGGGTTAAGTAATACAGTTACTTTTACTCAATGTTACTAGTTTTCCTGGATCTAAAGGCTCAAATACTACAACATCAATAAGAAGACCCAGTGTTTGTTAGTAACTTGGTGTATGATTTTTTTATTTTGAGTCTCTGTGTAGCAGCATTTGATTTGTCTGGAGGAGATAAAATCTCAAATGATGACATATTTTTTTCCTAGGTCCTTCTTTCACTTAGCAGAAAGGGTGTATGTACAAAAGGCATCTTGTACCTGATTATGAGAGATTATATGCAATGCTGTTGTGCTGTGCGCAGAACAAGCCCTTTTCGCTAGTAGAAACCAATCCACCATGATTTGTCTTTAAACATGAGTATGTGCTTGTTTTGCTTTCCTTCTGAAGTCCAGTCCACAGTGAAGGGTCGACTCTTAAGCTCAATGTACGTCCCTGCAGTTCCCCATCAGAAGTCTCAGAATCTCAGAGGTGGTATTTCTGTGGCTATTTGTAGTGGACCTTATAGTGTGTATTTTACAGCTTAGCTATGTGCATCAAATAAATACTGTGAGGAAAAAGGAGACCTTCAATCATGACAAATGGTACAGGTTCCAGCAATGGCCACCCTATTTAGGGGATGATATTGTCAGCAGTGTCAGTATCAGTGGAAATTTGGCTTCTTTTTTGTTAATGTTCATGTTTTTCAGTCCCTTCAAATAGTTCCAGAGCATGCATCTTTTTTTACTATTAAAATAATAAATAATTAAAAATCCTAAAAATTTAAAACCAAAAGCATGAGGATGACATAAAGGTAGGGGTGGTTGTCTTTTTTTCTTGTTTCTTTATGGGGGCAGTATTGTCCTAATTAACCTGGTCTTTTTCTGTACCTCTGAACTTCTCTGTAAAGCTATCTGATAGCATTTTGTTTTTCCTTTAAATGAGGCAAATACATTTGATGCCAGGAACTGGGGCTTGATGTGATATCAAAAAACACAGAATGAAATAATGAGAATGTGGGAGCAGGACAGTGCAGGGGGGAATACAGCAGCACAGGGAGGGAATAGAACAGCTGCTATTTGTTGCTGTTTTCACATAGTGCAGATTTGATCTGGTTCTATCAGTGTCAGTGTAAAGGCTGCTTTGACTGTTGGTGAGAGCTGGCTTAAGCCCTGTGGAAGAGAAGCACTGCCATTTGCAGAGTTGGGAATAATTGCAGTTGTGTATTGGTGTTTTTGTAGATCTTTTTGTGGGTAAAAACTACCCAAGAACGCGGGTACATATTGGGTGATCAGCCTGGCCTGAGCTCTCTGCCCTACTCTCAAATGCATCAGTCTATAGCTAGCTTGGCTATGTCTGCTTTGTAGTCTAAGCTGCATGAACTGATTCTTATGCTGTGGTTTCATGGCTTCTCTGAGCTGACTGAAGTGCTAACTGCTGTCAGGAGTGGTCTTTTCGCACCTTGCAACCATGTGTTCCCACCATTTTTCATTCTGTTAATACTAGTGGTTATATAGCTATGCGATAGGAAATGACCTGGCAGGAAAAAATTGCAGGGAGGATTAGTTTGTATGTGGCTTGTATGTGGATCAGCTTCCTGGCCATGCTAACCATGCAACTGCAGGACTAGTAGTTCTGACACAGTGAGGACAGTGGGGAGAGATGATGGGGTGAAGCAGAGGTAATGGGGTAGAAGAGGGCATGCTTGTTCATTCTGATTTCAACCCTTACATAAATTAGCTGAAAGAAACTATGGAGTTGCATTCTCAGTCTCTTTGCACTTCACAAAGTATTTATAGGAATGTCAATAATTAGGAAACAGTTATGATGTTCAAACTGTTATTTCCAAATCAGTTTGGGGAAATGTTTAAACCTACGACTCCTTCATCAGAATCAGAGCAAGGCAATTTCTCTGAGTGAAATCCCAGCTTAGCTCAAATGTGGGAGGACAGTAAACATACCTGTCTCTGTGTTTTAATTGAATAATTTGAACTCTGCTTTGCTACCACCACTAATTTGAGAGTCAAGTCTTATCTATCGACACTTTTTAATATTTGAAGCTAAAGGGATGGGGTGAGGAATTAACAAGCAAGCTTCATTATTAATATGTAAATATCTAGCCCTGGAGAAGGTTGATATGGTGTAAAAATGAATTATGCCAAGATAAAAGGGGAGGCTTAGCCACACTTTAATCTTTGCTGATGTATTGAAGAAACATAAATCAGAAATGTTGAGGGTATCTTATGTGTTGATGTGGGCACATGAACTGTGTTTAAAGGTGAACAGCAAAGGATTCTTAAAATAAAATAGAAAACTCCCCTAAGCTGCTGAGGATCCCAAATTATTAATAGGAGACACATTCAGGCTTAAAAACCATATGGAATGTGTTCTTTGAAATACACTTCAAATGCGGCCTTAAAATAAAACTCTAGACTTCCTAAGTCTTTTGAAGAAGAGCTGTCTTGTTTATGGGGAAAATAATTTTGAACAAGTTTCCCTGAGTTTCAGGCTTCTAAATTCTTGAGTCTAGTCCATCTCATTCAGAGCAGAAGATGTTGTAAACTGAGATTTAAGAGTACTCTTTGTTTTGATTATGTCTTTAAGAATAGAGTTTGTCACAGTGGCTTGATAAAAGTGAGTTTTGGAGCACATTCTGACCAAGGGGGATTAAAACTGTTCCCTATGATCCTTCTTACCTCCATGCTGAACAAATTTTGCTCTGGATTTGCACCACTAAAACTTTATCTGGAGAGTCCCTCTGTGCCCTGCAGTCATGCTGTTCTGCAGCTGCTTTTTAATCCGGAGTGTTTGTAGCAGTGCCATAGTGCTAATTGCAAAGGGTTTGTGGCCATAGGCTTGGGTGAGAGTGAGCCTGCCAGTGTCCTCCAAAGGCAGATGCATTGAAAGGATTCAGTGTAGTTGGGAGGAGAGGAGATCATTCCTCACTCCGCATGTGTATAGAGAGGCTGTACTTCTAGTCTGAAGAAATACAGCTACTTTAAGGAAATCCCATTCTGTCTGCTTGCCTCTCAGTTAGCATGCCTTCCCCATTTTTGTCTTGCATCAGACATAAACCATAATGTGTTTAGGACTGAATTTTGGGCCTTGAGGTACAAAAGCTGAAGTCTTTTTGGTGCCTCAGTTGAAAGCTGATTGACATAACTCTCACAGCTCAGCACATGACCAGCACTGCATAGGGACAGACTCATTCTGTGCTAGGTTTGTATTTGTTTTGTTTACATATTTGTTCATGCCATGAGAAGTTCCTTGCTTGTCTGCCAGAAATGCATGTCAGCCCCTTTCTATCTCCATTACTTTATCCTAATTTCTCCTCCTCACCCCAAGCTTTCATCAGTTTCTTGTGATGGAGGGGAGGTGAAGCAGTTGTAAGGGATGTGCTTCCCTTAACCAAACATGGACAGCCTTACCCTGTGACAAAGTAATTGTACTTGCAAGAGCTCCACGAGTGGTTTCTCTGTGCAGGAGGAATAGTCGCTTTTTAACTGGTGGGCTCTGAAGATGTGTCTACTGAGGAAAGCTACTCCACTATCATTAATTCCAGTCCTCTTCTCCATATAGATAAACCATGATGTGTGGATTCTTTCTTCTTCTGACAGCAAAACAGTGCAGAGAATATTTTTACTTGCAACCACAGCCCTGTACAGACCATGTCTTGTATTAGGGGAGAGCTGCAAACTAGGGGGGAAATCTCTGAGGTGTAATTTAATACCTGGCTCAATGTCATTACAGGTAATAGAAGAATAGCCTTACATAGGCCTAATTAGGAATGCTGGTTTGAATGAGTAAATGTCTTTCATATAACATCTGCATGAGAGCAAAACATGACTGTTTTGAAGGGTCAGATACTGGTATTAGATGCATGTCACCCAGGATGTCAGAATGTTTAGGAGCTAGGATATAATGTTAAGTCTAGGAAGCCTGAGGATTAATTTCTTCACCTGTAAAATGGGGATTTTCCACTAAGAGCATCATAAGCATAGAATCACATCAATTAATTTAAGATGCTAAGATACAACAGTAGCGAAGAAAAGGGAGATAGCTTCTGTTATCCCAGTGTGAAGGCAGAGCAAAGGTTCTGCTCCCTGTCTTGCTTAGAGGGCTCCTCCAGAGTGACTGTCTATAGGATTCCGGGATGGGCCAGGAGGAGCCACTTCACTAGGTGGCAGGGTGGGCTTCCCATGTGCAGGCTCCCACAGGTATATG